ATTTTGCCATTTGTAAATGAGAAAAAAAAGTCATGTACAGGCTTGTACATTTGGTTTTTCTTTTAAAATATATCGCCAGTTCTTAAGAAATATAATTATGAAACTTATGAGCGTTTAACATAAAATAGTTTTAGTAATAATTCCAAGTTGATATGAATCCATTTACATAGTTTAAGTTAAGAGCCTTGTAAAAATGAGCATATTATTGGTGCTGTCCTGTCTGTAAGGTTATCTAGAGTTTTCAGACTGTGAAACATCAAGCACCTAAAACAAGTAGGAGTGTCAGTAGAGATTCCATGTTTCCCCCATGGGGGTTTGCTCATTGTACCAGTGAGCTGAGTAGATTAACAGGTGGTGATTCCAAATTTAGAAAACAAAATATAGAAAAGAATTGATGATTACAACAAACATATTTATATATTCAGTATTTTTCTAGGCCACCCTAGAGCACACTTCAATGTCCAGCTTCATTAAAACTCAATATGTTTATGTTGCATCTTAAGGGGAATGCAATTGAAATGTTCACGTAAATACTGAAGTCATGTTCTGAAAACCATTTCCCCCATGTTTAAATACAGTCAGATGGAATAACTTATTTCAGTATTCTCATATCATCTCATAGACTAATTAATTGATAATCAAAAGTGCTTTTGGTGACCAATTTTATTTATTTTCATAAGTAAGACTTGAATTTCAGTTTTTTTGTTATTCTGTTGCTGTATTCTTTGTTGTTTTTGGAAGGCAGAAAAGCTATAGAAGTCTATGACCATAGGTAGGGGCATTTGCAGGACTTGGCTTTAGATTTAATAATCTGTGTAACCATGCTACCTTTCTGCACAGTTACAGAGTTAATTGTTTTTGTCAATGTGGAATATTTGAAAAGGATTGCATGCATGTCATATACAGTCTGCTGCATTGCAGAATCTGCAGTTTCTCTTTTCTCTTTTTTCACAGTTTTCAGTCAGTTTTTCAATCATTTTCTAAAATCTGTTGCACATTTATTAATATGTGATTCAGTAATGTCAGCCATTTCCATGCTCAGTGAGCATTTAAGCAGTCTGTTATTTTTGAGGTGCAATTAAAGATAATTCAAGAAATGTCATTGAGCTGCAGGATATATTTTCTTTTACTTTTCTCTTGTCACATTACAGCTTTAGAAATTATTACTGACCCATAAGACATACAGTATAATGTAATGTAAGAGTTTATTTTCTCTCCTGCAAATCTTGTTTTACATTTCATTTATACATTTTAAAATTTTAACTCTTTCCAAAAGGAGGACTCCACGTATGATTTCTCTCAAACTTAAAGACAGCAAAGCAGGAAAAGACTTTGAAGACATAAACAGAAGCATCCTGGACACCAACATTAGTGAAATAAAAGCTACACGTAGAACAGAGTTGATGGTTTTTGGTTACTCTGTTGTGAGTATGGTCAGGAGTGGTGAGAGACCCTGAATTGAGTACGCTATCCTTCAAGCATAAGAGGAGCTGAGAGTGGTTAGAGTCGTAACCAGAATAGTCTCAATGCTGTCAGACAACATTTGTGAAGACTCTGATTGTGCCTTGAAGATAAACTGAAAAGACTGTCATCATAATGCCACCACGATGTAGGAGTTTGTAGAGTTTGTTTGATGCAGCTGGAGATAATATCGATTTGTGCAAAGTATTCAGGAAGATCAGGCAGCATACGAAATGGTGGTATGTGCTGTGGATCAGAAAGACATGGTAAAAAAAACTCTACTCGTGTCTGCATCTGATTCAAGTCATGTGAAATGAAAATAGTGTCTGTTCCATTCACACTCATCGAAATTGAGCTGCAATGCTCATCACTGTATATTGATCTGTAACAAAGTTTTAGGGCCTGAATCAACTTGTTTGTAATAAACATCTATTGCACTAAATACATTTTTAGTTGCCATCTGTGAAATAATGATCTTTAAAAAAAGCTAGTTTTTATCAGTTTATAGATATACACTTTGCAAACTTTGATCTATGCTGTAGCTTTGGCAGCTACTGTAACATTAGAATGTTTATGAATGAGACTCATCTTCATTGTTCAACATCATGTTATTGGTCCAAGAATCACATTCAGATCAGTGAACAGAGTGAGTCTGCTTTAGGAATTCGACTGGGTAGTTTGACACACTCGGACTCGGACAGATAGAAAAATAGAAAACCTAACAAGTCATAGTGACAGGAATATGCCACTAATAGACGAAGAAAAATACACATGTTTTTTTATTATGCAAGAATATTTTAAATGTGTGTGGCAATGGAGGGGCACTAATACAGAGGCAATTTAAATTGGATGATTCACAATGATTTGAAATGTAGTAATGTGGTAGAGTTGCACTTGCTGCAGAAATAATAGAAGAAACAAAAAGGCATAGATGGGGACTGATTATGACTGAGCTCAAATGAAATGTAAAGATGTGATTATTACTATTATGGTTAGTAATAATATATATTTAGAAATATTACAGTGGCATTGAATTTCAAAATGGAAACTATGAAAATAATTTAAGATTTTTATGTAGATTTGTTATTACCCTTTACTTGTTAATTCAGTGTGGAGAAGCAATAATGTGCTTTAAAATGCGTGACTTTAGTGTGTAAATGAAAATTCTCTTTTCATTTAGAGTCTTATGTCCAGGCGTGGTCACCACACTATAGAAAGGATATTGCTATTCAGGAAAAAGTGAAAGAGGGGACAAGTAAAATGAAATGAAATTCCTAGTCCTAAACAGAGAGATTCTAATTCACACATTCAGAATCTTTATAGATGTTAAGTTAGTCTGCCCAATGAATATTTTTTTAATGTTTTGTATCTACAGTGGGTATAGAACCCACATTAGCCAAGTGAAAATACAATTTTCAAACATTCTGAAAATAAATTAATATTACAACAGTAAAATACCCTTTTTGGATATGTGAACACCCCCCTTACAATTGAATTTGTAAACTTGCTTAGGTATAACCAATCACCTTACAAATCACACAACAAACTAATTGGCTCCCACCTGTGATCAATTGTGGTGATTTTGATTAGTTCAGAATAAAAGTAGCTGTTTCTAGAGGATTCCACTGCTTGGAAGTGCATTTCAAAGCAAAGAATCCACTATGGGCAGAAAGGTGCTTTCAAAAGACTCTGTGATAAAGTTATGAAAAGGCACAAGTCAGGAGATGGCACAAAAAGATTTCAAAGTCTTTAAGTATCTCATGAAGCACAGTCAAGACCATCATTAAGAAGTGGAAGGCGTATGGCACCAGCAAGACCTTGCCTAGATCAGGCCGTCCCTCCAAACTGGATGATCGAGCAAGAAGGAGGCAACCTTGGGGCAACCTTGTTGTGAAAGGCACTATATAAAAATAAATTGAATTGAATTGAAGGAGACATGTTGAAGACATGAATTGAAGGAGGCCGATGGCAACTTTGAACAAGCTACAGGCGTTTATGGCAAAGACTGGTCATTGTGAGCATGTGACAACAATATCGCAAGCGCTCCACAAATCTGGCCTGTATGGGAGGGTGGCAAGAAAAAAGTCACTACTTAAAAAAAGCCACATCAAGTCTAGTTTATGTTTGGCTAAAAAGCACCTTAAAGATGCTGTGGTCAGATGAGACCAAAATCGAACTTTTTGGCCGGAATTCAAAATGGTACATCTGGCAAAAACACAATACATCTTACCATTCAAAGAACAACATTCCTACAGTAAAGCACGGTGGTGGCAGCATCCTGTTGGGGGGGGTGTTTCTTTTTGAGCTGGGACTGGGGCACTTGTCAGGATACAGGGGAAGATGGATAATGCAAAATACAGGCAACTTCTTGAAGAAAACCTGCAGCCCTCAGCCAGGAAGTTGAAAATGGGAAGATGGTTCACCTTTCAACATGACAATGACCCAAAGCACACCGCCAAAGCAACCGTACAGTGGCTAAAGGACAGGAAGGTGAATGTCCTTGAGTGGTGTAGTCAGAGCACCAACCTAAATCCCAAAGAAAATCTTTGGAATAATTTGAAAGAGGCAGTCCATCAACAGTCACCACACAGTTTGACTGAGCTTGAACAATTCTGTAAGTGCAAAGTTGGTAGAGATGTATCCAAACAGACTCAAGGCCGTAATTTAAGCAAAAGGTGCTTCCACCAAGTATTAACTCAGGGAGGTGTTCTCTTATCCAACCCAATTATTCTATTTTTTTATTCTTGCTTTCTTTTTTCACTTGGATGTTGCAAGATGCAATTTGTAAATAAAACTAGAAAAGGTCTGATTTTTATTTGTCTTCTTTTTGGGTTTAAGGGCAACAAAAGGTGAAAATTTTGAGAGGGGGTGGTGACTTTCTATACCCACTGTATATAGTAAGAAAGTCCACTACACTATTTATGTTTGCGCCCAACAATGAAACAAGGATGCAAAGATATAAGTGAAAAATAATTAAAATAAATTAAGCTGACACCCCTTATCTGGATGAAATTCAGTAACCTACCAAACAATCAAGGAGGGTTAATTTGGTCTTTTTTTCATTTATAAAGTTTTCATTGTTCTTATGTATTTATGGAAGACATTAAGGAGGTTTCTAATGTGTATCTACTATGGTCACTTAAGAAACTAAAAAAAAATATGTTTAGTCTACTATTTTTATAGATAAATGTTTTGGTACATGTTCTAAAACGTTTACTATTTTCCAGATAAACATATTACTAGCTTAAAATATGTCTAGAAATGCATTATTTTCATTGATTTTTAGAGGATTTTGATTGGAATGTGGATAAAGGCTTGCACATGGCAACCACATATTCTATATTATAGATAGCTTTATTGTGATTGTTATCCAGTAATGCCTTGACTTTCTAATTTGTGCATGTAAATTGTAAGAAAGCCTGCTACACTAATCAGATACCAGCAAAATGTTTCCTGGACCAACTCCTGTTATTTATCATGTCATTTTTCTTGTTCCTTCCTCCTCCTGCCATATCCTCACCTTGTGGTTCTTACCTCAGGGGATAACTTCTGCTATGTAGTAGTGGACAACTCAACCTCAGGTTCTGAGTTACTGCATTTGGGATCTAAAACAATAGGTAAATAGAACTTTATCAGCTTTATATACATTTTTGGTGAATACTAATGTGTATTCTTATTGAAATGTTGAAACAGATTTGTTGCTGCACTTGGTTTTAATATTATGCATTGGTTCATTACATCAATTTATTGATTACTCTGGAAAAAACAAAAATAGATGTGCTTCTGGTTGACTAAAAATCCAGGTGTCAGCATTTCTAATTTATCCATATTTTCCCGCATTAAATCAAAGAAAAAGACTTGTTTAGCTGGTGTCACATGTGTTAGAAGATGTCAGAGATAAAAGCATCTGCTAGTTTACATATATTTGTAGTTTTAGGGGCACAATTCGATACACATTACATTAGTTTTTTTTAATAAATCTTTGTTTTTGCAGAAGCACCATGTGCCACTCCTTTGGTTTGTAGTCTGGGAAGATCCATTGACCTAGAGAAGGACGATTACCAGCGAGTGGTCTGCAACAGTGAGGTCTGCCCCTACAGCAACTGGATGCACCTGCAGTGCTTTTACGAGTGGGAGAGCAGTATCCTTGTGCAGTTCAACTGCATTGGCAGAGCCCGCAGCTGGAATGAGAAGCAGTGCCGGCAGAACATGTGGACCAAAAAGGGCTATGACTTAGCCTTTCGTTTCTGTTCCTGCCGCTGCGGCCAGGGCCATCTCAAGAAGGACACTGACTGGTATCAGGTGAAACGGATGCAGGACGACCGGAAGAAGAAAGTATTGCCCGAAAAGAGTCTTGGCAAGTTGGCCAGCGGAGGTGGGGGAGAATCTCCAGAAGACCCCAAGAAAGGAAGGCATTCCGCAGGAAACAAGCTCGCGCATAAGGCAGCAAGTCACGAGCTGCCACGTCGACAATCCATAGACAGGCAGAATTCACAAGAAAAGGGTCCTGCTGGGTCCTTCTGTGGCAACAGTCTGGGTCCCCGTTCACCTTGTGACTCACCCGGTCAGTCTCCCCCCTCTGGCTTCTCCTTTTTCTCTCCATCCTCTTTCACTGGCCCACGCGGCTCCCGGCACTTAGGGGAGTTCCTCAAGAATGCTGTCCATATGGAGAGTCACCGAAAGCACCTCTCGACCGGTGGGGCAACAAGCCGGAATGCCCATGGTGAACATGCCGGTAGCCTGTCTCTTCCTAGACTTGCCTCAGCAGACACCCCTGTGCAGTTTTTGCGGAGACTGGACCTTTCTGAGCTCCTGGCACACATCCCCCGGCACAAGCTCAACACTTACCACGTGCGCATGGAGGATGATGCACATGCTGGCCAGGGTGAAGATCTGAGGAAGTTCATCCTCGCAGCCCTCAGTGCCAGTCACAGGAATGTGGTGAATTGCGCCCTGTGCCACCGCGTGTTGCCTGTTTTTGAGCAGTTCCCACTTGTAGATGGGACCCTTTTCCTGAGCCCCTCTCGACATGATGAGATTGAATATGATGTACCCTGTCATCTTCAAGGTAGTGACAAGCTCTTATATATCATCCTCTTTGAACAGAAATGTACAGTGTAATTTAGTACAGGTAGATCACTGGAATTGATCAACAGACATATGAAGATCATTTTAATTTGTTTTATTTAGTGTTCCAAAAATACTGTAGTAAAAATCACTATCACACAATAGGAATTACAGTTCTATCCCCTTATATGGTAGTTGTTTGGCCTCATAATTGGAATACTGTCTTATTAACACTTATTAGTGTTATGACTTGCATTAGTGTTTTTGTGTTCCTCAAGTGATCTACAATATCTTAAAGCCAAATAATATCCTATACCTAACAGAATCTGCAAGCTTAAAGTTTACATCATGCTTGAATTTAATTTGTACTTGTTTTAAAAATGAATTATGTAATACATTACAAGGGTCAAAATGCAAGATACTTTTACTACTTGATTGGAGAGCAGTAGTAATCATCCACAAGGACGCTTGTAGAGTTATGAAACTTATTACTAACTTATTACTTGCTGTGTAAAATGAATAAAGTTTTACACGTGGAAAAACAATTGCAGTGCAAATGCAAGGACATTATGAGTACTACACTGTACTGTGGAAACACTTTGGAAGTACAATTAAAACCAAGAACAGGAGGCAATTCTTTACCCAAAGGTTTGTAAGAAGATGTAAAGCACTACCCAGCCATGATGCTGAAATGATACACTTGGTTCTTTCAAGAAATAGCTGGATGAGATCCTTGGATCAATTAGCTACTAACTACAAAACAAGATTAATGGCCTCCTCTCTTTGTAACCGTTATTATGCGCATCTCAATTTCAACTTTGAATTTGCAGCAATGTCAAAGCAACAATAGCACTAACCTTTTTACTGTTAATGGATTCGCCTAGAATAAGATTAACACCTGCAAAATTGTTTTACCTCACTAGAGGCTGGGGCGATTCTCCATTCAAAATGAGAATTGTCACTTTTGCATATTGTAGCTAAACAGAGATGCATCTTTGCAATAACAAAGAAGGTATTGATAAAGCGCTCTCATGGGCTGAAGCCTTAACGTATTGTGTTCCTAGTATCAAGAGGTGAAGGGCATTTCTAAATTCTAATATTGTTTTGAATGGCTAAACGGATGTACAGGTGTGGCCTTACCACCTGATCACATCAGATCTCAAAAGCCAATCAAGTTTGGGCCTGGTTAGTAGTTGGAATGGCAGAACTTTAAGGAGAAGTATAATGATAGGGGATCGTGTCATAAAGAATTAGAGGAAGGACCTGACTGCTTGGGCATCAAAGATCCTGGCTGCCATATGCCACCTCGGTTGTTGCCAGGTTTTTCGTTTGTGGGTGAGGTATGTCCACTATTATGAAGTGTGAGGTTAACTACACATAATAATAATAATTATTATTAATGTTGTTATCATTACTTTATCAAAGTGTTAAGATAAAAAATCTAGTCTTTTCAGTACAAGGAAACTAAGAAAGTCAAAAAGCCTATTTACAATGCCCATTCAGAACTCACAGAATGATCCAAACACGTTTTTTTTAAACTGAACATTTTATTTAAAACTTCAGTACTCAAACTGAAGACTTACTGTATATGGGTTCATGTTAGCATGTCTTTTGATCATTGTCCTGACAAAGGTTTTTTTTTCTCTCAGTTTTAGGTGTAAAGCTGGTTTTCCACTTGTGTTAGTGCTTGTTTTTCCCCTATCTGTATTCCCTTCAGTCTTGACAACCTTTCCAGTCCCTGATATAGATAAAGAAATATAAAATAATGCTACCACCACCATACTTGCATGTTTCCAGTATCATGTTGGTGTCTCTTTACAAACTCTGTTTGGGGATTTATGATCAGTTTTCCACTCTGCCATACAGTCCAGCTTTGTGGAGTGACTGGAGTGACTATTGTTATTATTGCAAATAGACTGAAATTACTAAACTAATTGTGTGGCTTATTAAGATAATTTTGCCACAGTTTAGGGTTTGAATATATAGACAATCATTATTTTCCCATTTTTATTTCCTATTAAATATTTACTTTTTTATTTACTTCTTTCAATTTTATTTAAAGCTTTGAATGTGGAAAGTAGATTATATAACAATTATTAATTTCTGCTTCAAAGTGTCATGTCTGCAAGCTTTAAAGCAGGAAAATGTGACAACAAAATGTGCAGTACTTTTACAAGGCATTGTACTGTACATCATATTTCACATTATAATCACCGGGATAATTGAATGCATCAGATGGTATTTTGTAAGTGTTAAACTGCAGCAAAAGCATTCAAGGAACTATTAATTTTGATCTGTTTGTCTTTAAGAAGAAAACTGGAGTTATACTTTAAGGGTAATCAAAGCTATCCAACACTTCATGATTTGCAGTTTTGACTTTGCCAGTTTTGGAAGTGTCACAGCTACATACCTGCATCCAAAACCCATGAAAGTCCTTGTCGAAATTTCTATGCTTTGGCTTGCAATACTTTACCATAGACTGAGAGTATATTTTAATTAGCAGATATTCTGACTGTACTGGAATATGTCAGCTTTTAGGACGCTGAGAGTATATATTCTGGAATGTGATTAGTAGCATGCTCCAGAATGTACCAGAATATATAATCTTATGCTGCTCAGTCAAGAATATTAAACATTAAGAATGCTTATAAATTGCAATGTTGAAAGCAGGCCATTTAGCCTCTCTGGCTCTTCTGTTTTTTCTTAGCTAGTTGATCCGAGGATTTCATTTGAACCACTGTTTGAAATGAGCAACAACGCAACCGGATAACTTGTTCCAGACTCCTGCAGCCCTTTTGTACTTAAGTGTCACAGGTTCAGTGTGTTAAAAACACTTTCTCATTCACTAGTTTTAAATGTATCATGTTGATTTTCCTGCAGAAATGAAAAACAAAGAGTCAAGCTTGTTAACTGTGTTACCAAACCACTGTTTTTGCCTTGAGCAACACTCTCTGCACTCACCAAGAAAATCTTTTTGTTTTCTTTTAGCCATGCAAGCAATGAAGATTCTGAAACATGCTTGTCTACTTCCACTGCTTGAATTTCACTGTCTCTCACTCTGCCATTTCACTTTCCATTTTATTAGAAAATGATTTTCAGTTGTTTGTACTTAATTTCTGTCAAGTACTGAATTTAGTTATGAAAAAAATTCAGGCTTTGAGAATTTTAATTGCATTCAAATTTTTTTAACATACACAGTAGTGCTTTTAATCACGTGAGGTTTTTACCCATGCAGCTTTGTATACTTAAAAAAAATGAAAGCTTTTATTGTTACATATCTTGTGGTGTCATTGCTGTGAATCTTATATTGTCTGAGTAGATGTCTTTGAAGAGAGATTGTAAGATTTTGCACTGTACATGTTACGGAGATTGTCTGAAAGTAATCTATGATAATGTACCATATTATTAGTAAATAAATACCAACACATTCCAAAAAATATTTTTGTGTAATAAATTGAATGTATAACATTATATGGCCCATATAAATATTGTATAACCAATAAAATGGCCCAAATAAATATCATTATTACGATACAATTGCATTATTTCTGGTACTTAGTATACTACCAGAATACTTTCCAAGGGTTAATGACCTTGGAAATGTGCAAAAGAGAATACTTGTCTTATGCATTGTGACAGCTCAGTGTTACAATGTTACTGCCTTTGCAGTTTTAGTTGTGAGCCTGTTTGGGTTCTCTCATGAGTTTCTTTCTTTATTCAAATTCTGCCCAAAGATGCTGAATTCCAAAATATGGCAAAAACAGTGTTCTTCCATTTAAGTTATTTTTATGTCTGTGCACATACTGTAGACACCCATCATTTGCCAGTGCTTATGTGAATATGTTTTACCCCTGATTGTTCTGATGCTACAGAGATGACCTGTGCATTTTTCAATATCAAGTAACTGTTTTCTTCTCTTCTGAAGGGAGGCTGATGCACCTGTATGCAATATGCGTGGATTGCTTAGAGGGTGTTCATAAAATTATCTGTATAAAATGCAAGTCTCGATGGGATGGTAGCTGGCATCAGTTGGGAACCATGTACACATATGATATACTGGCAGCCTCACCATGTTGTCAAGTAAGTGTGTTTGAATTCTCTGAGAAAGAAGTATATCAATTTGAGAAATTTTGTGCAAACAAATGGATGTAAAATATTTGAACAATTCATTGTACATCTGGGGAATGCATTACTTGTAAAAATGTGGAGAAAGCTGCAAAGCCTTGCATGTGTATAGCAAGTGTATAGCCTTTTACTGTGCAATCTGGAATGAAATAATCAGATATCTGTTGTGTAATCGATAGACTTTGTAATAGATCTTCTTGAATCAAAAATTCAAAGATATCGATTCTTTGTGAGAATTGTACTTTCCAGTCTCCATTACTTCTTTAAGCTGTAATATAGGTGCCTATAAAGTATCAAAATGCACCCTATTAAGGGATCTGATGTTGTTCTTTTTTAAGAAAGATCTTCCTTCTGGCATTGACATTTTTGCATATTTCAAACAATTAGGTACTGTATAAATGTTAAGGTTGTGTTTCTTCCTCTAACGCCACTGAATAGTATTGTTCATCATTGCTAACATGGCTACTTTCTAATTTGAACTTGTATCTCTTGCTCACTCTCAGGCTCGTCTGAACTGCAAGCACTGTGGGAAACCTGTGATAGATGTGCGTGTGGGAATGCTGTATTTTTCAGAATACAGCAATGTACAGCAATGTCCTCACTGTGGGAATTTAGACTATCATTTCGTCAAGCCTTTTTCATCCTACAAAGTCTTGGAGGCCTATTGACGAATGCTAAATTTGTGTACTAGTATTGTTTTGGTTCATTTTCTAGGTAACATTATTTTGTTCATGAAAACAAGATTCATTCAGAATGTGTTATTTAACAAAATCCTTTTTTTACACAACATAATAATATTACAATACCAAGAAAAACATTTTTTTTTTTTAAAGATTTGTAGAAAAATCTCAGGCACTGCACATTAAAGAAATTTCCTGAAACGTATTGAAACTGAGATTTAAAAAAGCAAAACAGAAAAAAAACTGTGACAAGTGAATGTAACTGTTTGCCAGATGGGCTTTTTTTGTACAAAAACAATAAATGCAACATTGAAACTAAAAATCAAAAGTATGCAATGCGGGTCTGCAGCATCATATGTCTGGGTGTCACAAGGTTCCAAGACTTTATCTCTTCATTTTCCTTATATTTGCATCTTGCAAATATTTTTGACAAATGTTTCCCCAGATGACTTTTTAGAATGCTGTACTGATTTGAAGAATTTAGCAGCAAAGTATATTACTATATTTGCCTTGTATTTAATTGCCTTGTTTGTTTTCCATATGAAATTTGTCTGAAAAAATGTAAACTTCTGTAGGTCAGTTGGTTGCACTTTAAAATAATATGCGGTTATAAGAGAAACATAATAAAAACTTTCAAGCAAGCTCAATCACATACTTTCAGTCATTTAGTTAATCATTTCTTAATGATAATCTCACCTGCAGTATCCATGAGTGTGTTGTGCTCTTTTAAGCAGAATTGTAATACAGTTTCAATTTTAGTAGTTTTTAAAATGTCACATGTAAACAAAACAGTAGAAAGTTGGCACTTTAGCATGGTGCTCATACTGCATTTATATTAGTGTGGAAAGGCCTTACTACAGATAGATAGCACCACTTATGATCTACACCTTACTCCCTAGAACGTAACGACTTTTCCTTGTCGAATTTGCCCTCCTAGGCTTTTAAAAAAAAAAGTAAATAGAAAGATTAAATCAATGAAATACACCCTCTCATCCCCCCTCAGTTGGAGGAAAGAATTGTTCAAGACGTTTTGCAGTTGCTCCTTGAAGAGCTATGAGGGTGAGTTAAAAACCGGTGCACTGATTGTATATGGTATATAAAAACACAATCCAGACAGAGCTAAAGTAATTTGTATGTGTTATTCAAATCATGAAAAGAACATTAATGTTGTAGACCCTTATCTTAAGTTGTGGCTTAGACAGTTGTTGAAAAGCGGGAACTGATTCATCAGAATCTAGTATGGGCATGTATACGTGTATGTATATACAGTATGTAAACAGAATAAATGTAGCAATATCAATGATTCATTGCAAATTAAACCATAAACTGGAATTAGACGTTAAATATTTTTGGTGCTTTTAATAAACAACCTTTATATCTGATTGATTATAAACCTGAATTATCAGTATATCGGATTTGTAATTTGTGCTGTAGATTTTCACAAGGAAAAGCTTAAGCATTTTTATGATGCCATTTTTTTTGTTAGCAGGTGACAGTATAACTTCATAGCATGCCAAAAAAGAGCAATCTCAATTTCTCACATGTCCCCCTGGCCCCATCCCTGAAATCCTTCCCATGAGGTAACTCTTCTCTCCCCAAGATATCACACATTTGTGACAAGAAGAACAAATATTCATCTAACCTTCCACGTCTGTTTTTAATCCAGCTGTTCTGATTTAGAGAAGACTGTGATGTTGCACAATTCTTCTAAAGTAAATTCAGAAGTATGATAGTACATAAAGTGCCTTGATCTTCTTTCCTCTCAGTATGTTTGTACAAATATAAAAATGGTGGCTATATTTCCTGCCGAACAAATTCATTATTAAGACTGATGCCTTCCAGTAATTAACAAATCTTTGCAGATTATATGACATGGTTATGAAGATTTGAGACCATAATTAATCTCCAGATTTTCTACCAAAGATTTGTGAAGTGTCAACTAAAACCATACTGAAAAAATCCATATTAAGAATATATTTTAAGAATTCTCTGGACAGAGAAAAACCCATTCCACTCTTGCTTGGAGAAGACTGGCCTCTGTGATCTAGACATCACTAGTTTGAGTCTAGGCCATGTCACTAGTTGCCTATGATGCCAGAATTTACCAAGATATGGCAGATAATTGGCAGAATTCTACAATGGAAGGGTTGGGATTGTGTCAGGGGTCTGTTAGCTTTCAGCAACCAGTTATTCTCATATCCTGCTGCTCGTTTGCAGGTGTTGAGCAACATTTTTTGAGAGAGCTTCTGCTTCTCCAAACAGTACGTATGATGTCTTTAGGAACTGCAGCTTCCAACTTGATATAATTAATGGCTCTCCCACTGGGCATGTCAGAGTCACATGTACACCTTTGTCATTTTCTCCTGTGCACGAACAGCAGCATTTTAAAACAACTGGTGTATCCAAACTGTGTGGGCATGTAAGAAAGTGCTGATTATAAGTGAATATAAAAACAAATCTAGTCGATGGTCCACATAACCCAGCTGTACAAAATAAATTGACCTGTAGATTTTAGGAAAACAATAGAATAATCTCCTAAAATTATATGATTTGGCTGAATCATATTTCATCAATCATATTTTTTTTCATAGTATTTTTAGCTTACACAGCACCACAGAAATCCCCAAACTAGTATTGATCTAATATTTTGTGTGAAGAGTTTAGTGTGGGGAGCTGTGTCAGCATTCAAAGTGCAAAGTAAGATGTGAGTGGTTAATTCTGCACTGAAAAGTAGAAGGAAGGATGATTAAATACAACATTTTGGCTGGGGAGCTGCCTTCAGGTCTGTGAGAAAGGGCTCCACGGCTTGTTTTTTTGTTTCTTTTTGCTTTTCATTGTGGATGGAACCTCTGTTTGTTCCTTTGTCATTTTTGTTTACTTTCGTCACAGCTGCACAGAGCAAGGCTGAGTAAGTCCTAAATTGAAGTAAAGGCAAATAAGAGTGTGTAGGCTCCATTTCATAGCATTGGTCTGTTTATTCACATTCTTCCATTTTTTATCTAAACAGACACATTCATAAACTGAAGAAAAAAAAGTCTTACTCATTACTTTAAGGAGCAGGTGTTGTTCTTGGAGATGCGGGACAGCTGTCGTTTTTGCAGCACTGCATGAAGAATCTGAAAAATAAGCATTTCGCTGTACGAGGAAGACACATGCTTTCTTACTGTTTGACAGCATGCAGACAAAAAGTAGTGGAGTGGAATGGAAGGGTTTACGTCTGAACCTGAGGAAATCTTAAATGTGCAATATGTTAAGAACAGTTGTTTAGAAAGTGAAATAAATGTGGACAAAACTGTTTTGCCTTTTTGATACACACTGATTTTAGAGTTTGCACTGATGGCCTCCATTTACACTGCTACTTTGCTACTATTTTTAGTGTGTAAGAAGCAGGGGATATGGAACTGATAAGGCACCAGTTTGATCATCCTTAGGCCTAACACTCTAAACAGTGCTCAATTACTGGGTTACTAATACTGTATGTCTGACATAAAGTCTTGGAACCTTGTTGGAGTGATGCTACATTTTGCATGTATAACCACTGACAAAACGTCTTTTGCATTTTGTTGTTGAGAAAACAGCGTGCTCCACAGTTTATTGCACTAAGCTTGCTTAAGCTCTGGTACACACTTTACAACAATTTCAGAATTTATGTAAAACTACATGTTTCTAAGGACGCTTATGTTAGTGTTTTCATCCATTAGAAGCAATAAACTTGATAAGACCACCTTTTTTACCTTTAGGAAATCTTCAGAATTAACAGATTTGTTGCATCAAATGCGCTTTAAGTACTACTGTGTAGAACAATCTGTTGCAGTAATTATAATATTGTGTTGTAGGAATAATAGTTGAGGAAATACTATTGTAGAATCTATACATTTTGGACTCTATTCCTTTCTAGCTGTTGTGTGGTGCAGACCACATGCAGTACACCTTCCAAAGCCTGTTCTTAATAAATATTGAATTAAAACATAATGTAGTGTCCTACTACTCAGAAGAAACCAAGCCTTTGAAATCCAGACAACTGTAGGATACTTTTGAAAGGGTTAGATTTTTTTATCTGTCTCATTTGCCAAATATTCAGATTATAAAGAAAAAAAAAACAAGTGTGCAGTTGAGCTTTCAGTTACTATAAGAACATCTGTACTGTCTGTACAAGTATTAGGAACTCCCTGGTCAAATGGATAGGCAGTGAATATCTAGTTTGCAGAAGGTTAGACAGACTTCAGTCACCTTCCCTAACCTGAACAATCCTCAGGTATCATTCCTGTTTGAGGCTGTTGGAACTGGTACATTCGATTCAATCCCATACAACATTATTCACATCAGAACTTGAATTGAGGCCAATCATGCTCGAAAATAGGAGGTAGGATGAGTCTGCAAATATTTCAAAAGCACGTGGATGAGATGTTACTTACTGTTGAATCTATTCCATTCCTCCCGCTCTTTGAGGCACAGTTTGTTATTCAATGGAGATTCCAAATATTTTAGCTAATGACCCTAAAAAACATTATGTCTCTTGTTGTAAAGATGGTGAACTGAGAGAAAGTTTTATTTTATTTTATTTGCCTATTTCACAACCACAACTTGGTAGTTAGTGAAGTTACTTTTTTCTGGGGGTCTGAGGTAATAAGAATATGTAGTTAGTTTAGAGACATCTGTTATTACTTTGAACTCGGGCTTTGCTAGGTGTTTGATCAGTATTTTATCTTAGTGCAATAATACATCTGCATGCTCAGCTAAAGGTCCTCATCATTTGAAGAACTAGTGGAATTAAATTGTGTTTATAGGGTGTACCTTATTACCACGGCATTCTAGCTATTGTTTCTGTATAATGGGAAAACGTGCAGTTTCAGTACACATTTCTTGAAATGTTTTTCATTTTTGTTTCTTTGAAACCTTTTTTGACAAACATTTTCAAGCAAAACTTCACCTTTGTTGCACACTCCATGTTTGGAAGAGCACCACACTAAAAACTCTTAAACTAATGATGAGATGCTGTGATACGATTTAAATATGTTTAAAACTGTGGTGCTGCCTGCAAATTGAACTACGAAAAGTTTAACAAAGAAAAATTACAGGAAAATAGCCATGTTCAAAAGAGGGTTTGGATGTTGAATAAGGAAGGAAAAGGAGAGTTTCATCCTCTGAACAACATATCATTTGAATTCATTATTTGATTTTCTGCTTGAAAAATAGAATTACCAGTAATATTCTCTCTATGTAAGATTTGCTACAGTCAGGTATTTATCTTTTATGTTTTGTCAATTTGGAATCACCACTTTTTAATCAGCTTCACTCACAAATATTAATTCCTTAGACTTATACAGTATAGCACTTTTCTGGAAACTACTCAAAGCGCTTTACAGGTAATGGGGACTCTCCTCCACCACCACCAGTGTGTAGCCCCCACCTGAAAGATTCTATGGCAGCCATAGTGCACCAGTACGCTCACCACACACCAGCTATCAGTGAGGAGGAGAACAGAGTGATGAAGCCAGTTCATAGATGGGGATTATTAGGAGGCCATGATTGGTAAAGGCCAATGGGAAATTTGGCCAGGACGCCGGGGTAACCCCCTTATCTTTTCGAGAAACACCCTGGGATTTTTAATGACCACAGAGAGTCAGGACCCCTGTTTCAATGCGTGGGGGACAAGGACCTGCATGCACTCCACCATTCCTTCTTTTGGTCTGCTCACAATTTGCCAAGCTTCGTACTCCGCAGTGTCTTAGAGGAGAGGTAACATTGATCAGAGGACTACTGCATCTCTCCTGACATCGGTGCAAACTCATGGCTGGCTGACAAGTCCCTTGGGTTGTTTTTGCAAGGCAAGCCGAAGGAACCTTAGCTGACCCAAAACCACCTCATTTCAGATGCGCTTGCTCAATTGTTTGGGGGTATGCTGGCTACAGTCTTCGCATGAGAGGTGTGAGACAGCAAAATCAGAACCACAGAGTTCTACCTGAGTTCTCTACAGAAATTATGAGCCAATTTACAATTTACGCATTTTTTCTTTTTTAAATCTTTACATTGTGGTACTCATTGCTTTTTATCTTAAAGATACAGCTTGTCAGTATACAAACAGTTATTTTTTAAAGCAGCAGAAATCAGAAGCATCTTCTTCAGACTTGTCAATTTTCTTTAAGTGGTCACATGATTGTTAACGAACCTTTAAGAATATTTCCTAATTGGCCAATGACTTTCAGATTTTATTGAGATTGATTTCTTGAAGGGGAATCGAGATCTGCTCTGGGAAATGTTTCCTGCATTTTGTTTCTAGGAAACAAAAAATCTAAATCAAATATTCATACATGCTTTTGTGTGTTACATTTGACTTTGTGTCATTATTTAGATTTTGTGCAGAGTTCTGTGACAACTAAGACATTCAGGCAGTCATGA